AGTCCCACTTGTGATTTTCCTCCATGAGTTGCACTGTTGAGGCCCTACATTTTTTAAGAGGGACTGAACACATTTACAACATCTCATCTGCTCATGGTAGTCCTAAGTGGCTGTAATAAGATAAAAGCCTTTAAATACCATTAACAACATCTTGTATGTGAAGTGCACCACTTAATCAGTGTATGCGGTTACATGCAGTTTTTCTATTATAGCTAATCAACTCACCAGGGAAAACATCTTTCCCTTGTAACATCAGAATTATGTTTAGCATTTAAATCTGGCAGATGTGGTACACCGAAGAGATACATAAACTGAAACCAATAGTGGTCAATGATCTTTATTCTTTCCAATACTCTAGCCAGGGTTCGAAGATGCTCTTTGTCATTAGGGCCAGTTAACAGGATTTCATCAAGGAATATTGCCACGTATGGAAAATCTTGTAGTACCTCCTAAGTGGTCCGTTGGAAGATAGAAAGTCTAGAAGAGACTCCGAAAGGTAGAACACAGTAAGTAAATAATCCTTTGTGTGTATTCACAGTCACATCAGGGATTCTACATCTAACGCTACTTGATGGTAAGCATAGCTCTTATCCATTTTGTAAACTTCTGTCCCCCTGACAAGGTTGCAAACATATTTTCTATCCAAGGAATGGAGTGTTGGTCCAACTTTGAGACTCTGTTCATGATAAGCTTGTCATCACCCCATGAATGTACTGTATTATCAGATTTCTTTTAACAAGCGTTCTATTTCTCCTTCAACTTTTGTTTTCATCGCATGAGGAACTAGTCTGGCTTTAACAAAATGTGGGACTACTTCCTTGTCTACACAAATCTTTGCTGGTGGCCCCTTTAATTTCCCAAACTACTCTTTAAACAGTTCTTCATATTGACTGAGAACTAGAGGTAAAATAAATTTCACAAATCCTTGAATCCTATGCAGGGTTTCCCAGCCCATACCGAGCTCCTTGATCCATTCTCTCCCCAATAAATTGGGCCCTCCTCCTTGAACCACCACTAACGGTAGATCTTTCACAATGCCATTGTATCTGTCAGGGTTCTGTGTGTGAATGAGTCATGTGATTTCTGTGTAATTGTAGTTCCATGTTCTCCGTGTTTATGTCATTATGTCATGTGATTTCACCATGTGCAGTGATCGATTTGTTCTGTTTCCCGCCATGTCTTGATGTTCATTAGTTTCACCTGTGTGTCACGCCTGTATGTAATCAGTTAATCATGTCCTGTGTATTTAAGTCCTGTGTTTTGGTCAATCTAGTGTCTAGTATTACATGTCTTTCTTTATTTGATTCCAGTGGTTCTTGTGATTGTTCATTTTGTAAACAAATATGTATTTTGATAATTCCTGCGATCCTGTGCCTTTTGTAAGAGAGCCCAGTAGTGGCAGTATATGACTTCCACTTGTGCAGAGCACAACACAGTCAATTGCTGGTCAGTGAAAACTTTTTTTTGAACTTGCAAGAACAGGGGCCTGTTTCAGTAAAGAGGTTCAACTAACTTGGAGTTTAAACTTGAACAATTGATTTACTGAGAGATTTAAAAACTCAGAGTTTCCGGTTTCGAAATAGCTGATCTGAGTTGGGTCAATTAACTTTGAATAAACCAACTTGAGTTGTGTTAAGCACACACTCTGACTTTATAAAAGTAATATCAACGGGTTGCAGATATAACGAGTGACCATGGCAACATCTAAAAAAAGAGATCAGCATTTCTTTCTCCAGCTAAACTGGATGTGTTCATGCAGAGTTATAGGACCCTGCTGAAAAATCCAGCTTAAACCAGCCTAGGCTGGTTGGCTGGTTTTAGCTGGTCAACCAGGCTGGTTTTAGAGGGGTTTTGGCCACTTCTAGGCTGGTTTCCAGCCATTTCCAGCCTGGTCTTAGCTGGTTAGGCTTGGAGATGACCAGCTAAAACCAGCTTGACCAGCCTAGCCAGGCTGGGAGCCCAGCCAAAACCAGCTATGTCCAGCTTAAACCAGGCTGGTCAAGCTGGTTTTAGCTGGTCATTTTCCATCCTGACCAGCTAAGACCAGGCTGGAAATGGCCAAAACCCCTCTAAAACCAGCTTGGTCGACCAGCTAAAACCAGCCAACCAGCCTAGGCTGGTTTAAGCTGGATTTTTTAGCAGGGGAAATATGACTATATATTTAAAAAAGCAACACCACTGCATCAGTGAAACAGATTGTTAGCGAAATCCTGTGTCTTTCAAATATTTTACTTGTCACCAAAATGTAAACAAGAGTCAATTCTGTTTGAGCATTTACTTGAAAGTTACAAACTTTTTAAGTTACTGTCTTGATTACTTCACTGGTGGCTGGCAAATCATACATGCAAGGCATTCTTCTTCACTGATTATTAAGCATCGTTAGTCTGCCATCTACAGGTAATCACATCAAACCCATCTGACCATCCAACAGTTTCGGTTAAACAATCAGCACAATATTCATTCTAATGCTGTGTTCATAACAGACGCGGCACACATGAATGAATCATACTATTCACGCACAAATAGCCGAGTAAACATTGTTTACTCGATTCATTCGCGCGTAAAATTTACTTAATTCACGTGTGAAATTAACTTCACTATAGATGCGGATTCGCAACATGTGCAGGGCTTCTGTTTGGCCGGTGACTCTAGCTTCATTGCTAAATGGCTAACATGGATCCTATTAAAAGAATAGCTGAATTCATGTGCTTTAGGAAGGCTGAAAAACAGCGTACATTTGTTCGGCGCCGTAATCAGTCCACTAGATCCTTACAGAGGTGCGCCCAGCTCTGTGACTTCAACAACCCCTCCAGAAAATATAACTGTATAATGGAGCCTTTTAGCAGTGTTTCAGTTTGATGACCTGTTGTCTGGTGTCAGCAAGCGGATTTCCTCTCGGGACCTCAACAATAGCTACTACGTCCCATTTTGAAATAATGTAATGTATAAGAAATAATATAGATTGTGATAAGTCTATCTTATGTGATAAGTAAATCTTGTGATAAGTGATAAAATAACTGAAAATTCATGGGCGGTTTATTAAAAAGTCATTGTACTGTGTAATATACAACACCAATCCCGACAATATATCACTGTTAAAAATGTTAATAAAAGTCACCTTTTAAGCATTTTCCATGGTTAAAATTGATGGAAGATCGATCAAGGTCCCATAATGCATTTCAAAAGGATAAATAAATGGGGGAAAACATAATAAAACATGAAAAATACAAATGAACAAAATGTCCTTTAACAGTGAGTGACGATATTTCAAAGTGATTAATTGCCATCATTTTGACCGGTAACAAATTGTACTCTTTCAGAAACATTTTAGTGAAGATCAGATGTGACTGTTGTAACTATATAATCAGGGAAACACGCCAGGAATGAATTCAAAGTCTTTAATTTACTCATTAAAAAGAGCACTACAAGAAAAGTAGAGAAACACATAAAACGAGAGCAGAGCTGAGGGACTTCAAGTACATGAGGGAACAATCAGGGAGAAACAGAGCAGGTGTACAAACTAATCAAATCATTAGATGGAAAGAAAACAGAACACTCACTTATTTTCCACTGAAACAGAACAAAAGACAAAAAACAGGGCAGACACGTGAAAACAAACCTGGAAAGAAACGTGAGGATTTGGGAAGAAAAACAAAATATTTTTAGTGCTGAGAATTATTCATGGACCATATTGCAAATCACGCTGTAGAAAATTTATTGACAAAAAGTCAGGACAACTAATATTGTTATGTCGCTTTAACTTATTTTATTAAATTAATCAGGTTTCAACTTTTTTTTTAAAGGGTACCTATTTTACAAGATTTAATAAAGTCTCCTGAATGTATCTGTAAAGTTTTAGCTTAAAACACCCATCAGATTATGTATTATACCTTTCAGAAATTAGTATTTTTCAGCTCTGAGCATCTTAGCTGTTTGTGTTGCTTGTGCCTTTAATGCTAGTTCTCCCCGCCCACCATTATCACGTTCTCTGCCTCGGCTACGTCAGATAAACCAGCCTGATCTCATGAGGAAACGTAAATATTTTACGTTTCATTAGTTTATTGTCTAATACGTACGTATTAGACATGAAAATGTCGTGTGAAAATGTCGTGTGAAAAATGTCGTGTGAAAATGTCGTGTGAAAATGTACAACTTCAAAACGGAGTCATGGCACCTAACTCCGACCCTAACCATCATTGGGTGATGAGCAAATCATATTAAATTGTATGAATTAGATTGTACAAATTCATACAAATTAGCCACTAAATCAAAAAGTTACAAATTGCCGTGAGATTGCGTTAGATAAACAGCAAAGTGACAGACATGTAGGAAGCAGATCTTACGTAACCTTTGTGAGAAATATTACAGTAAGAACTTTCCCAATGATTATTTGATGTATTTGTTGTGGAGTTAATTCAAGCAATGATGAGTCACACTCAATGCTGTTACAAAGTTCACACAGACACATGCACACAGAGCACACGCGTTTAACTTTGCACTGGTTTTGCACGCAAATGTGACAGGATACTTGTTAACATCCACTGCTGTATGGATATCACAATGTTACAAAATATGTGCAAAATAAACCTGATTTAATGTACACAAACCGGGATTGAAACGTCTTCTTTTATAATTGCACAGACATGCGGCTGTGGTCATAAAGAGTAAAATCGCTGTCATTTATTACAGTCATGCGTGTTTTAAAAACGTTTTAAGCTTGCAAATCTCATTCTTGATCACATTTAATGATGACTGATGATCAGAGCGCTGAACAGATCTTTTAGTCCCAGTTGCTTTGTGCACGTCCTGTCTTGTGGATATGATTATATGAGCCACTATAGAAACATTTTAATCGATTTGGTGGATGGGGGAACTGCGCTCCTATCACGTTGTGGTGGGCCTCAAAATTAGAGGGATTTGGACCCTATTTTAGCATCAGGAAATAAAAAAAAAAAAAAAAGATTTATTGTCTTTCAATATGACCATGGACACACTATACCTACACACAGTTCTATCCAAACAGCTTTAAAAAGAAGATTTTCATCATAGGTGCCCTTTACAATATTTTTGATTAGTTTGACTAGATGTAAGATGACTAAAAAAGTTAATTTGATTCAACAAAAAAAAATTAAGACAGCGAGAATTTCTTTACAGTGCAGTAGAACTGGGTGAATTGATCGAATTATCATTACTAGGATTTTAAAATCTCTGCTACATTGACTACAATCCAAAAAAAGGAGGTTAGTTATATGTAAACATTTTATTGACTTACAAAGTCAACATCCAAATGTTTAAAATGAGAGTAATCCAAAACAGAAGTCAAGTTAAATACTTAAAGGAAAAAATCTAAACAAAAGTTTACAGAGTTGACGTTATGTGTTTGGCTCCTATAGTGCGAATCTGACACAGATGTTCTATAAAATCTCTATAAAACAAAACTGACAGGATCACAAATACACTCGCACCTCATTAAACCTTTTAAACCACATCTCTTGGTTGAGCCATTAAAAATGTTTGTGCTACAAATGATTTGCTGGCGCAGATCGACTTTAATCCAAGAAAAACAGCTTTTTTTCTCTTCTCCGTTTTAGGAAAGGGTCTTTTCCCCTTTCTTACTTCATTTGATGAATTTCTTGGAATGGTCCTCCGCAACGGTGTTTTTCTGGGCTGTCAGTCGCTGATCCACACCAGCACGCTCCGTGGCCCCTTATGAACCGCAATTTAGTACCGAAGAAAGAAACAAGCAATTTAGTAAGACAAAAATGTTCCTCCATCTTCCCAAGACACATCCTTTTTCTTAGTACAATTATGAGATGTTTACAGAAATAATAACTCTCAGCTACAATTCATTGCAAAGGGAGTAAATGGAAATAAATTAGATCTAATAAAAAGTCTCTGTTCAGCCCTCTAGGGTTCTGAACATGCCACTGTAAACTGTTAAACAGAAAACAATTGAACAGATATGTTAGTCTGGTATACTGTAAAAAAAACAACTAGAAATGCTACAGTTAACATTCATTCATTCATTTTCTTTTCAGCTTAGTCCCTTTATTAATCAGGCATTGACACAGCGGAATGAACCACCAACTTATCCAGCAAATGTTTTACAAAGCGGATGCCCTAGGAAACACCTATAGTCCACACAGAAACGCCAACTGACACAGCCTGGACTTGAACCAACAACCTGCATAATTTGCATACTGCATATTGTATTCCTAATCTATACTGAGCTTCAGTTTACATGTATGTAATTTATGAGCCTAATGCAAGGCTATTCAATTGGCAGCCCGCCGGCCAAACCCGGCCCCTGAGGCAGTCTGTTTCAGCTCTCCAAATAGTGTGACCAAGACATAAAAAATAAATTCAGTTAAAAACGGCTGCTATAGTTATGAAGTGACTTGCATCTGTTCACTACAGCACGAGTTGCAGAGGCTGCGCAGAGCGTGAGTCACCATAATGCTGCGTTCACACAAGACGCAACACGCGCGAGTTATTTACATGTTTAGTCAATGCAAACACGCGAATAGACATCCTGCGGCGCGATACGCGTGAGGCGTATTGAGCGTTTTGCGCATTTGACGCGCTTAATGAGCGTTTCGCGCGAATCTCTCGAGTTCAAAAATCTGAACTTCATCGGACATTCGCGCCGCGTTAACCAATCAGAAGCTTGCTCTTGTGGGGGCGTGATTGTGAAGTAGAACCTGTTGATGGTGTCCCAGGGGAAATCCTCCAGGCGACACCTACAACAAGTCATCAAACTGGGCTTGGCTCAGTCAGAAGAACCGTTGAAAGCCTCTGTGATCCAGGTTCAGTTTCTGGAGGAGTTTATGAGCTCACAGAGCTGGATGCACCTCTGAAGGCATGTAGTGGACTCAGACACGGTCCTAAATGTATCAACGCTGTATTTCAGCCTTCATAAAGTACATTAACACTGTTATTTTCTTCATAAAATCCATGTTAGCCATTTAGCAACGAAGCTACAGTCACCGGGCAGACAGAAGCCCTGCCCATCACGCGAATCCGAGTCTGTTCTGAAGTGAATTTGACACGCGAATAAAGCGGATTTCACGCCCGAATGAAGCGGGGTTTGAAGCACGAATGAAGCGAGTAAACTCAAATGTTCATGCAGCAATTTATGCACGAATAGCGTGATTTATCCCCGCGTTCCGCGTCTGGTGTGAACACAGCATTAGTGAGTGGTGCGGACAGCCAAAAACATTTAGATGTGTTTTGTAGAAAATGCCTTTTGTACAATGCACTGTAATCATTAATAGGGATGCAACGATTAGCTGATTTCACTATTAACTGTGCTTTAATCCCTCACAGTTAATTAATCGTAAAGGCTTCTCTAAGCCGCATTTCTGTTGCACGGAAAAGTTATGACAAGTTGCCAACTGTGCGCTAGTTTAAAGTTCCAAGTATGTACACCGAGGCTACTACACACGCACACTGGATTAACTATAGCAACGGCCGTTCCCATATCACGTTTTTTCCGCTTGCAAGTTTATCATTTCTAATGTAAGAATGACAATATGCGCGCACAAGTGGAGCAATGTGCTTGCCTCTTTCCAGGCACACGCAGTTGAAAACATCTCACGGTGAGAGTTGTGCGTGCCTTTCAGTGCAATGTAAACAAAAGATATGCTAGACAAATTAATATTATAATGATTTTGTACGCATGAACCCAGATGATAACAACAGTTAATCTAAATAGCTACTTCCCTAATATAAAGCTTGTTGTTCGAAATTTCATTAGACGTGATAACCGTGAAAGCATGATTATTCTACAGACTCTATCGTACAAACAAAATCTATAATGTTGCATCACTAATTGTTTTGCTGTTCAAAACATAACATATGAATGTGTCTGAGTGTAGAAAAAGCCTACTTCAGCAATGCACTGCTTTTGTTGTGTGAAATACATAATTTTGACTGTTTGTAAAAAAAAAAAAAAAAGTCAATTGGACAATGCAGTTGTTTTAAAATACAATATATTAATATTTTAATGTAAAAAAGCCAACGTGGGTGTCTTTATGAGCACAAATACAGCATATGGGCTCTTATATGTAGTTGTGTCATCACTCATATAGCAAGTCATATCTCTCCGGCCCTTCGTTTAGGATGCTTTTCATGAACCATGCTAAACTAATTGAATAGCATTGGCCTAATGTATCAGATATAATACTCAACAACCTTTTTTTTAAATCTCTAAGTTAAAGATAAACTTTTGGATATCCAAACTGTAACACTATTTTATACATCAGGCTTGACAGATGGTACTATTTTCTTTTGAACATTTCCTTATTTATACAGTGCAAAGACAACAAAATGCATTAAAAATGCAAATGGCCATGACACTTATTGTTTTGCCAAAAGTAATTAGCGTTGCCACTACAGGCTGTGGACTCAGAGCAATTAGCGCAGCACTTAATCCAATTAGATCGAATTTCCTTAAGCATATTAATCATCACGGAATCACTGGTTCCAGCCAGAAGACAAAATCTACCTGCTTATCCCTGTTTCCCAAGCAACCCACAAATAGGTCATGTTGTTACATTACTTCTTTGTTCTCTCAGAATGGCTAATTTGGAGCTCTTTGTGCAGAAGGACGTTTCTCATGGACTCATTTCTCTCTCTCTCGTCAACCATGAAATCCTTCTGAAGGCAGCGGTCTGTCCCTTCCAGTGTCTCACAGAAGGCCTTCAGAAGGACGACAGGAGAAATGGATTAGAGCAGAGCTTCTTAACCATTTTTACTACAAGCTTCCCACTGTGTAATTAATTTACAGAAATCAGGAGTGTCTATTGATTAAAATAAATAACTAAAATAATCAATTAAACTTGCATTTATTAAAATGTAAAATTAAAGAAGCACAGTGGAGATCAAAAATAGAGAACTTACAATTTTCTACATTTAAAGATAACTTAACCAGAGTAAAAGGAAAGTATTTTAAAGGGGACCTATTATGTCCTTTTTACAAGATGGAAAACAAGTCTCTGACATCACTAGAGTGTGTATTTGAAGTTCCAGCTCTAAATATCCCACAAATAATATTTTGTAACTCTTTGAAACTGCCTCTTTAAGGCTTTGCTCCTCACTGTCCTATTTTGGTAACTGTCGCTTTAAATTCAAGTGAGATTCTGCTCTTTTCAAATGAAGGCAGAGCTACAAATGCCAATGTGTCAGCATAGTGGCAGATTCAAAAACAAGACTAAAGCTGCGGTCACACTGGGCTTTTCCTTCCATAGACTCCCATTCATACACACGCGAATGCGTCAGGCCGGAAACGCAGGGTCATGCATTAAGTTTCGCAGGTTATAGTTCAAGCTTGGTAAACTCTGACCTGGGAAATCGCATCACTTGACTGCGTGAGACCAATCGAGGATCAAAGCATGACATTTCTGGACAGAAATTTAAAACATTGAGCAATCACTCGCTTTTTTTAAATGTCTAATAAGCTTGTTTAATCCCGCCCCTTTTCGCAGCCCCACATGACAGAATATCGCATGCTCAAACTCTAGTGTGACTGTAGCTTAATACCCTTTGCTAATGAGGGAGAGATTGTCACTAATGGGCGTGGCTTTCCCCTCTGATGACACATACACATGTCTGTCTCATACACATGTACAGTCTTACACAGTCCTATATTCACAGACTGTTGCCACACAACTGTGCTTAAACCCCTTATAAAAGTCATTTTTGTATAACAGGTACCCTTTAAGCAAAAAATAATTAATAAAAAAGAAAAACATTCTGTCTGTGTGAATTGGAAGTTGTTCGGACTTTTTTTTCAGTATGTTGGTGTACTTACAACTGAAACATTTTGCACATTAATCCCTCATAGCAAACGAAAGGGGCGTGATTGAACATATTGTGGCTGAAGCCAATAACCGAGAAGAACCACCACTCCGAATATGAAATCAAATGATCAGATTTTGATTGAAGATTTTGATTACCAAAACAAACTTTTTTAAAGAATAACAAATTGAGCATCCATGAGCTGAAACCATCCAACAGCAGCTCTCATGATAAAAAGTAACTGTTTTACTTACCGGCAAAAAAATGGCTAATTTGTATGAATTTCTACAATTAAATACGTAAGTTTTTTTTTAAGATGCAAAGCCCAAAACCCCACCACTAAACCCAAATGTTGATGTTAGATTTACAATTTGTAAAGTTAAATCTACAAATACTTTTGAAGTTGTTTTGACAGAATTGTGTATTGGTTTGTGTAGGTCATATCGGGCTGATATAAAGACAATAAGCCTCTTTTCTGTTACCTTCCAGACGTGGGAGTGCAGTTTCCCCGCCCACTGAATTGATTGACAGCCGCATATTAACATGTCTCCGTATAAACGTGTATAATCATATCAACAAGACAGAACGTGCACAAATCAACAGGGATTAAAAGATCTGTTTGGCTCTCTGTGATCATCAACCATCATCAAATGTGATCGAGAATGAGTTTTACAAGTTTAAAGGGCACCTATTTTAATCCCTTTAAAGATTTAATATTAAAATTATGGTTCTTCTGAGTGTGCCAGTTTAGGTTCAGTTCAAAACACAGTTCAGATTTTTTTTAAATAATGTGTTAAAAAGTGTCATTTTGGGGGCGTGTCCACAGCTCATTGTTTTAGGGGTGTGTTGCTTCCCATGAAATTAATTTCGACTTCCTGTCCAACTTAACAAGGGGGCGGAGCCAAGCGCTCCCTCGCTTTGTGTAGGGCAACAGACAGGCAGACAGAGAGAAGCAACATGAGTGAGAGGATCAGCATTCAGCAGTACATGTACGACTCGGACACAAACCAAGCAGAGACTACTGTTGAGAAATCCATATTCCTAATGTGCCAGAATATGTCAGAATGGTAGTTACAAAACCATTTCTGTCTTTGTATAGTTTTAGAGCCGCCTGTAACGATGCATGTGTCATCCCTATAGGGATGCAATGATTAAACCGTTTCACTAATAACAGCTCTTTAATTCCTCATGGTTTATTAATCATACAGGCTTCTCGACACCGTGTTTCTGCACGGATCAAAACTGTGGCAACTAAACAAAGTTATGCCAATTGTGTGCTAGTTTAAAGTTCTGAGCTTGTACACCGAGACTAATAACCACGCACACTGGATTAACTTTGACTGAGGCGATAACTAAAGCAAGTGCGTTATTTCCAATGGAGAGACGTGCATGCGATGCAACACACACACTTTCCAGCCACATCTAGTTGAAATGACAGTGAGCTTCTGTAACTGTGGGAAATGCAAACGGCTGAAGTTTAAGGAAGACGCAATGTAAAGCACACAGGTTTGCAAACCCACCTAAAGCTATAAACAATGGCGCCAATGAGAACGATCATGTGGTGACTGTTAATCTGCCAGCTGAGATCAATCTAATGTTTTCAAAGAGAGTGCTGAAAGACTCAGGATCAGCTGTTTTTAATGGCCAAATGGTTTTAAATGACAACTCGAAACATTGCATTCACTGCGTATTCAGCTCAAAAGGCCGCTAAATGTAAAATTTTCGTTATTTATTCGCAGGAAGACGATGACGGCTCTTGTGTTAAGCCCAATGAGCCCTACATTCAAAAATAGAGCAAGAGTGTTTTTTTGGTGACATCGCTTCGACTTGCATGCTGAAAAATGGCGAATGTGAAACAACAAACTGAGGATGTGGATGTGGATGCTCCAGTTGGTCCACTGTTTTCATATTGTTAGATTGGAAAAAAAAGAGTATTGGGTGTGTTTATATCACCTCAATATGACGGTATATACATTGTACTTACACACATCTGTCCAAACAGCTTGAAAAGTCAATTACAGCAATTTTACCATCTTTACTTCATCCCCACAGCCGCTAAAAGAAGATGCTTCAATTCCGGTTTGTGGACATTAAATAGCTTTTTTTGTACATTAACAGGACCGATATAAATCCGACAAATACATCAAATAATCATTGGGAAAGTTCTTTCTCATAAACGTTACATGAGATCTGCTTCTTGTCTGTCATTGTGCTGTTTATCTGACACAGCCCAATCAGAGATTGAGGCACACTCTGACAGGCACGTGGGAATGGTGGGCAGGGAGAGCTAACATTAAAGGCACAGGCAACAGAAACAGCTACATTGTGTTCAGAGCAGAAAATCCAATATTCAGAAAGGTATAATTAATAATCTGATACTGATCTCCGTTTGTTGAATTTAAGTTACATTCCAAGTACATACCAACTAATTGTCAATAGATTATAAGTAGACTGTTAGGTTAGGGTTAGTGTAAGTTGATATGTACTTTTAAAGTTTCTAATAGTCAGTTAAATGTCTGTTGAAAGAGCAGTATCAACATATTAAACAGACAGTCTAATAATGCTCAAATGGACCATCAAAATAAAGTGTTACCAAATGGTTTTAAATGCAAAATAATTAAATTAAGCTTACCTGTCTTTCTCTAAGAGCATCTAAAGCAGTTGGTGGATCATCCAGACATAAGAATTCTCTGACTGCCATGCTTCAGTAGAGAAAAAGCAATAATGTTAGTGTTACTATGTTGGTTTTAAACTACAAAAATCTATCTATCTATCTATCTATCTATCTATCTATCTATCTATCTATCTATCTATCTATCTATCTATCTATCTATCCATCTGTCCATCTATCTATCTATCTACAGTGTAGACAGCATTTTTAGCCCACCTCACCCACACCCCTCCTGGATATGTTAGCCGTTCATTCTGCAGTGGCCGAAGGAAAATGACTAAATGAATATTTTCAAGTAATGTTTAAAAAATCAAATTTTCAGGTCAAATGTGTTTCCTATTTGTATTAAATTTATCTTCTATTTCTCTTTTGCAAAAGGCCCTATTTTTTTAATAGGCTGGAATAAAAAAAATGGTTAGAAAAATATTAACCCCTCCTTTTTTTGGATTGATTGCAAAACAATATACTGTCAAGCGTTTAAACTGCATGTAAGAAAACTAGTCAAATATTACGTACTGTCATCGTGGCAAAGACAAAAGAAAGTAGTTTTTAGATTTTATGTACTAAAATTATTATGTTTAAAATGTGTTGAAAAAAATCTTCTCTGTAAAACAGCACTTGGGAAATATTCGAAAAGGAATACAAATTTCACAGAAGAGCTAATTATTTTGTCTTCAGTTGTATCTAAATAATATAATAAGGAATATAAATCTCTGACAAATACAGAGGAGCCAAACCATTAAAAGCCCTGTATGCAAGCATGAGAATCCTAAAATCAACATGAAACCTGGCAGGACGCCAGTCCAAAGACCACAAAGTAAGAGTGACGAGATCTTGGAGCTAGTCAGAGATCTAGGTGTTTTACACATTCACAATTTATTAAGTGTAGACTTGGAGACTCTCACAAACATTGCAATAATCTACACATGAAAACAACACAGACCCATGCACAATTAAGTTTTAATGAGCCAGATATTCAACGACGAGTGCCAATGAACGTAACTTCAGTCTTGTTACTGTTCTGTGTTTTTAATCTCAGAAAACAAAGAGTAAAACAATGACTGCCTCACTGACATCCATTTTAGAATGAATGAACCATCTGATCCTAAAGCTGACCAACAGAAAAAAATAAATACATTCTGAAAACGTAGTCCCATGGACGTTTCTGGAGACCACGAATTATGTTGCCAGAGGTACGTATGGCTGTATGGCATTTCATTTTTTAACCCTTCATGACACCACCAACTTTCGGTTCAGGTCTACCTCAGAATTTTTTCAAAAGATGCATCATAATGGGCATGGAGCTCCACGAGCAAATGGCAGGACTGGGCGTGGCCAGCAGGGGAGAAGGAGGGGAGCAAACTCTGTTGTCAGTTAGCTCACAAAATGAGACACAAACCGTGAGGAGACGCACGAGTTTATAGTTTAAATGCATAGAAATAAACTGTAATTTCAGGCCCTGCTACATTTGTTATTTGTTATTTCATATACAGATAACCAAAATTTATATCATTGTAAGGATAATCGTGTTCGTATAAACACAATGAGGACTTTTCCCTCAATCCCCAGGTCAGTATCATAGGTCTGAATGCAGACTTAGTGCAGCAGGTCTCTTACCCTCTCTAATTAAACCATTAGCCCTGCTGGTAATTTGGAGGATTTAGGCAAACACAGCAGCACGGCGATGTGTCGAAATGTGAACGAACTCCCGATAAAAGACAACGTCCGTCATTCTCCAATTCTCTAACTGCTCTCCCGACAAAAATGCTTGCTGCACACACACAGCTTTGCTGTATCGGCCCTGACAGCATCGCGGGGGAAAACATCCAACAAACACCGTGGATCATGGAAACTTTTAGGGGTTTTACGCTCAGAATCGCTCACGTTAGGATTTACTAACGATGAAATGAATGTGAGAATGTGCGCAGCTCCACGCCAACTTCATAACTGGCGTACGCACATTTTTTGTGCGCGTCTGTTTTATTTCCATTGGCGACTCTTAGAGGCAGTTGTGTTAAATTGCTCTCTACAAAGAGTCTTTGAGCCGTGCAATGGCAGCTGTATGAGACTGGTTCATCTAGCAGGTATATAAGTTGATGTTCAGATTTAACTGTGTTAACCGCATCAGCTAAACTCTCCCTATTCTATTTTTTCTTTTGTTATTAATTCCGGAGGACAAACTTGCAAATAACACCGTTTTTCTCCGGTCTACCTCCGAAAGGGGCACCTCCAATTCACATTCTGTTCAAAGTTCCTCTTCTTGCTTGCTTTTGCCATTGTTTTTTCGTTGGGTTTTGCCAAAGTATAGTCATTAGCATATTCATACGGGGGAGGAGGCAGGGAGGGGTTTTGCGCTCGTGCATGTTGCGCTCAGTTTCACGTTCATTCGAATGTACAAAGAATATGTGTAGGATTCGGCGTGCGCAGTGTTTCATACATCTGAATTTTTTTCTGCGTACGTACATTTACAGCTTTGTGCGTACGCAATGTTTTAGTATGATTTCCACGCAAGTCTTCGTACATGAGGCCCCTGGCCTTCACAGTCACCGGAGCTGAACCCAATCGAGATGGTTTGGGGTGAGCTGGATCGCAGAGTGAAGGCAAAAGGGCCAACAAATGCTAAGCATCTCTTGGAATTCCTTTAAGACTGTTGGAAGACCATTTCATGTAACTAATTCTTGAAGCTCATCAAGAGAATGCCAATAGTGTGCAAAGCAGTAATCAAAGCAAAAGGCAGCTACTTTGAAAAACCTAGAATATGACATATTATCAGATGTTTCACACATTTTTTGTTAGATATATAATTCCACATGTGTTAATTTACAGTTTTGATGCCGCCAGTGCGAATCCACAATTTTCATAGTCATAAAAATAAAGAAAACTCTTTAAATGAGAATGTGTGTCCAAACTTTTGGTCTGTTTCTATTTATATATAAGGATAATCTGAGCTTGATGGTTAGGCACGCTTGCTCCTGTTGTCAATCTGGCAACCAGAATATGCATAGAGTTGTTGGAGAAGCTGGGTTAAAATGTGATTTGAATTAGGAGCGCAACACCTAGTTCAAGCACAGGGTATCTTACATACTGCACCTTTAAACCTTTGAATCATAATATGAAGCTGTCACATGATTGCAAACTAAAAAAGAAGCTTCGAATATCACTGATCATGTGGTTATGGCAAAACAAATCAAGCTTTGGTACACTACTTCAGTGTGAGATGTTTTGTTTTGTTAAAAGGTTTTTAAAAACTTGGAAAACCTTGCTTGTAGTCTTTATTTTGCCCCAAAAAGCTGCATGTGGATCTCCTACTAAAATGTTACCTGCTTTTAAGTGAAGTTTCACAAACTAATTTCGAGAGGAGCACGTGATATGATTGATCGCAGCTGGCCACCCATCTACATATACATAAGTTAGCCAATCAGATTAATCCAAACACACAAAAGTAGCCTAGTTAGAACTACTCCCTTATCTTCGTTTTCCGAAGAAACCCTCCATCTCCCTGCTGAAAAAAACAGCCTAAACCAGCCTAGGCTGGTTGGCTGGTCGAACAGGCTGGTTTTAGAGGGGTTTTGGCCATTTCCAGGCTGGTTTCCAGCTATTTCCAGCCTGGTCTTAGCTGGTCAGGCTGGGAAATGACCAGCTAAAACCAGCTTGACCAGCCTAACCAGGCTGGGAGCCAAGCTAAAACCAGCTGTGTCCATCCTTAACCAGGCTGGTCAAGCTGGTTTTAGTTGGTTTTTGTCACGTTAGCGTGATCAAAACAGAAACAAAAAACGGGAGTAGAATCCAAGTGCAGTTTAATATATTATTGTGCAGAGAAGGTGACAAAAATATAAAAATCCAAAGTGCAAAGTAACAAACAAAACAAACAAACCAGGAACTCAAACAGATAAAACTCGAACTAGATCTTAACAAGAATAACAGGATACAGACTGGAATCAGGAACAAACATACAGATATAGACGAACGACAAACTCACAAACAGTGGTGGAATGGTTGAATATGAAGTCCAGGTAATCAACGGAGAAACAGAGACAGCTGTGTTTGCAATCAGTGTAGATGACAGACCGGATGTGTGCACGAAAGAATGTATGGAAATGTAGTTGTAAGCCACTGTAATTTGCTGGGAGTAGCTGGCGAACTACAGTGGCATCTTGTGGACAAAACACAGTCATGATAGTTTTAGCTGGTCATTTTCCAGCCTGACCAGCTAAGACCAGGCTGGAAATGGTTGGAAACCAGCCTGGAAATAGTCAAAACCCCTCTAAAACCAGCCTGGTCGACCAGCTAAAACCAGCCAACCAGCTTAGGCTGGTTTAAATTGGATTTTTCAGCAGAGCCACCACTCCTCCTTTCTTCGTTTACCCCAGGGGAGCTCTCGAGAACCACCTGATCTCGTACTCCTCTCACTTGCTCTATGAACCTGGCGGGAGCCCTGGGCTCAACTATCTCCGAGCTCAGGGTTCTCTCCCGGGACAGCATGCCAAACCTGCTAACAGTTGTCAAACAATATCTAAGTGTGAACTCTTGAAACCAATACATTTATGAATGTACATTTGAGTATGAAAAACTATGGGTAATTGTTTTAATTTTGAGCAATGGCTTGAGAAAAAAAAGAGCAACGACCTGGATAAAAAAAGAAAAGTCAGGAAGATGTCATCTTTTGATATATGAACTCTGGGGAAAATATGTGAAATTAATTGCCTGTGACTTTAATGGAGCAGAAGAAACAAAACACGATTTCACAAATTCTGTTGTCAAGATGATATAAGATAGAAAAAACACACACAAGGAAGAACCAATAAAGTAAGTTCAATGAGGCAGATCAATAGATTTACTTATTAGAGAAGCCAGAAGAGAAAATCTGTATAAGAGCTACACATTTTTGTATGTATTTAAGGCTTGGTGGTCAGAAGGCCTAAATGAATAGAGGAAAAACTAGATACTGTATTGAAGACCCAACAGCCATTATAAGGTTTAACCTCTGTTAAACAGTTAAGAAATTTGGATTTATCAAATCATTCAAGTAAACTTTTAAGTTATTGAATGCAAAAGTCCTACAAAGTTATTTCAAAGACTACAGAATACACAAGACGTCACTTTTTTACATAGAAAACTTATAGTTTTC